TTCTCTGTTTGTTATTAGTTAACCAAATTATATTTAAAATGAAGGTTTGAAATGTTCATAAAGTTCAGATTGTTGTTTTCTTTTTTTTTTTTTTTTTTTTTTTTTTGTATAAAATCTTCATTCATTAGTTTTGAAATTAATTTTGCGGTTAAGTCCATTTGGAAGTATTTTTACATATCTGATAAGTTCACAGTATTCTTCCTTGATAACGACAAATGTTGAAACATTGACGTATTTAATAGCAAACTTGGGTTAAGTAATGTAGTTTTATTGACACTGATGCTTTGAGTTTACACAGGAACCTGTATTTATGATCCGTTATAAGGCTTTGAAACAGGTTTCAGCAAGCTTTCACTTCGTTCTTCTGCTTTATTTCATTGAAAGTTTACATCGTACTGTTGGCTTAGCTTATTACGTTTGTAACCAATAGAACGTTGAGTTTATTATTTAGTGTTATAGATGTAAAACTATATTTTGATAAGGAATGATCGACTATAGAGTATATTACAATGGTAGGGTTGTAATTTCGGAAAAAAAACATTTGGAAATTGCAAAGATGGGAATAATTTCGATTTTGCAGGAAATTTTTATTGAGCAGGAGACCCTTGACAATTAAGAAGTTTGCATGAATGAACGATCCCGAAGTGAAGATCCACGATGTTTGGGCGAACAACCTGGAGGAAGTAAGGCTTCACATATAATTGTTTCATTCAGTTGTTTCGGGACATTATGATTGTTTTTCTAAAGAATTTTGAATTCTCCTATGCATGTAAAATTAATTCTTGCAGGAGTTCAAACGAATACGGGATACAGTCAAAGATTACCCATTTGTTGCAATGGATACGGAATTTCCTGGTGTAGTTGCTACACCTTTGGGTCAATTCAAAAGTAAAGAGGATTTCAACTATCAACAGGTAATTGTTGGCAATTTCTCGCATTTTTTTTGGATTATTTCAAAAATAAATCAGCTGCCTCAACATATATTCACAACCAAAATTCCAGTCGTCTTTTTTTCAGGTTTCCTGCAATGTAAATATGTTAAAACTTATCCAGGTTGGATTCGCTTTGTTGGATAAAGAAGGTAATATGCCATCGACGGGTGATGTATGGCAGTTTAACTTTCAGTTTTCCTTAAATGACGATATGTATTCGCAAGATAGTGTCGATTTATTACGTAATGCTGGCATAGATTTTGGACGACACCAGGTAACTTTTTAAGTGACAGGAAAATTAATAGAGTTAATATTAGGTCAACCATTTTAAATATAAATGAGAAAAGAAACCTAGATTTGATAATCCAACATATAGCTACCTGAAATGTCCTCTTTTTTATAGCTTAACATAGATAGGTAATCTCAACAGCACATTTTTCTAACTTATGATGTAACCACATTTCCGATAGCATATATATTTGCATCTTAATGATAAAACGTTCTACAATTCAAGCCATCAAATCATTCCACTTAGTTGACAATTTATCATAGTTTTCAAGAATGCTTGAAGATCATCCAGAAATGATCTAAATATTGCTTTTATAGATTGAAGGAATACGGATGGCAGATTTTGGTGAACTACTTACGACATCAGGTTTAATTGTTGATGAACATATCACCTGGTTAACATTTCATAGTGGTTATGATTTCGGATATCTCATGCGTTCTATTCTGCTTTCGGAATTACCCAAAGAAGAATCACAGTTCTTTCAATATCACCGAAAACTTTTTCCATGTAGTTATGATCTAAAAATGCTATTAAAGCACCCAGGTTTGGTGAATGCAAAACTGAGAGGCGGTTTACAAGAGGTTTGTTCCTTTCCCGATGTTCATTAATTTTCTTTTTCTTTCCTCGTTTCATTTGATGGTATTTGTAAATTACTGTTGGCTGATACAATAACTCTTAACTCACGTAGGTGTAGTACTACTTGCTTCTGGCAAGCAAATATTTTCGAAACCTGCAATTCCATTACTAGTTGGGCGTGGACACTAGGGACCGTGTTCCCTTTTCCGGGTAGTATTATCATAAAATGCTGTATAAAGCCTGCTTGTGAGACAAACAGTTTGCCTGCTCTCTAATGATTCACCTTCTTCAATTTTAGAGTTTTTCAAACCTTTAAAAATGTAAATGATCAAGGTTTTATGGAATTACTTCATTATCGTGTTATATAATTTTCAGCTTGCTGATCAGCTAAAAGTAATTCGAAAAGGACAGCAACATCAAGCAGGTTCTGACTCATTACTCACTGCACAAACATTCTTCAAAATTAAAGAGCGGTTTTTTGAGGGTACTTGGGATCAGGTAAGGTAGTTTTTTCTTCCTTTTTTTTTTTTTTCTAGATGTTATGTTCAGATGAAAGCATCTATCATAACCTGTGAAGAGGACAAGAAATGAAGCTTCACGATGATATTAATGTCGGGAATTGACTATAATAGACTTAAGAGAGACCATAAGCTAGACTTAAGATAAAAATGCTGGTACTTACTGAAATGTGATCCCCTCATATATTATCCATAAAAAAAGCTTGGAGGACCGGCGATGTGGTAAAATTGATCTTTCTTTGCCAGTGCGCTATGACCACACTCCGTTTTTATTTTTCTTGGCAGTTGATCGTGATTAGTTGATTGGTTCAATAGCAGTTGTTATCTTTTCAGGTCGCGCCAACAGTCGAAGGACATTTGTATGGTCTCGGGAATACGCTCTCATCCAGTGCACCATTTGTGCAGATAGACTCATCAACCCCCGAACCACAACAATCGTCGACACCAGAAGCACCATGATAACTTTTTTACTGAAATTGTTAAGATATTGGCTTTAAGATTCTTCTTTGGAAACTTGTCGAATTGCAATGTTTGTTTACAAATGTAAATAACGCGTTGTTTACTTATTAGATTTTAAAAAGAAAAAATTTATATACTTCAAGTCGTGCTCTGTTGTTTAATCTAATGACTATTAGTTGTCAGATCCATAATGGATGACATGTATGAATGATTGGCTACCGAGTGAAAGTGACTGTTAAATGATTTGACGGAAAAATGCAATCAAAAATCAACAGATCCATCTTGGCAGTTGATCTTTGGACTTCATTGGGTATTCGTTGCTTTGCGAAACAGATTGGGGTGGGGGAAGAGCAATATGATTATAAATCCGTAAGCATAACATACTCTGTGTTTACATATAGATTGATATTTTTATCGTTATCGACTGTTTCATCCAGTGGTTATGGGCTGACAACCTTCCAGAAATCCTAATTTACTTTAATTGAATGGTTGATATCTTGTAATTTCGCTGGCTCAACTCTTGATTCCGGACAATTCGTTGGTGAAATTGTCAGTGATAGAGAACCGCTAACTAGAATGAGTCTTCATAATTTAGATTATGGGACTAGTAGGGATTTCAATCGAGAAACGTCGTAGATATCTTAGGTACGGAAGGGAAGATTTCGAGGTTTGGTCTTGCAAGAGAATTCCCCGACAGTCGTAGAATTTCCGGCGATAATAACTGTAGATAACTAAGTGGAAACTACTATTAGCTATAACGCTGAAGTGTAGTGAGCCTCCACCCCGGTGATGGCGGTGGGATGAAGTAACCATGTTGCTGGGACGCACGAGTTGCATTGAGACCCATAACGTTTGATAATTTTAGGCCGTTAAAAGAGGTTGGTACTAAGCTGTTTGACTTGATTGCTGAGTATTTGCTAGACGATGCCGCCGAAATTTGACCCAAACGAAATTAAAATTGGTAAGTGTGCGGAATTTCTACTGACTTAGTTCGATTTAGACTCGAATTTAGGTCAGTTCAAATTGAATCCTCAAGATGAAGTATAATTGAAATTACAAACTTCAGTTCGGATCGGTTCTTGTAATAACATAGTTTTACTTGTTGAAATCTTTATATAAATCTATCTGAAGTCAGGTTCAGTTTTATTTCAGTTCGGATGAATTCTTTAAGAAAGTCAAAGTCCTTGTAATATATGTGCGCATGTATACATCTATGCACGTACTTGTGTGTTAGTGTGTAGCTATCTAAAAGGTTGCATGTGGCTTTGTTGTATTTGGTGGGAAGGATTTGTAGATCTAATTCTTTTCTAAATATGAATTTTAAATAGAAAGCAAGTAACCTACCTGTTTCTTTTAGTTTATCTGCGTTGTGTTGGCGGTGAAGTTGGTGCTACATCTGCTTTGGCACCGAAAGTTGGACCGCTTGGCCTGGTAAGAGTTTTTTTACTTATAAATTGCAGTTGTTTATTTCGTGCTTGTTTTATAATCTCTAATAAATCGTTTCGGCGATGATGAAAGTGAACTTGCAACTTTTGGCAAGAATCCTGATGCAATTTCTTGCCCATGTGTTTAACCAGAAGTCAGTGCTTTCAATACCGCGATTTGAATTCTCGGTTTATTCGAGGACTTTTCTTGTCTCCATATTAAACTTTGTTTGTGGATTTGAGAGTTGAAATTTCAATATCATCTATTAGGTTGGAGTTTCATTTCTTTTTGTCTCTCTAACATATTCATATTTTCAGTCACCGAAGAAAATTGGTGATGATATAGCAAAAGCAACGCAAGACTGGAAAGGTCTAAAGGTAACATGCAAGTTGACGATCCAGAATCGTGTAGCCAAAATAGATGTAGTACCAAGCGCAGCATCGTTACTCATCAAAGAGTTGAAAGAACCTACACGGGATCGGAAAAAGGTTAAAAATGGTATGCGACAACACGTCATGTTAATTTGCAATTGAAAGAGAAAATAGGGAAAGGGAAAGGTAGAGGCAAACAGAAATCATCGCGTTATTGTCATGGTTGTATATATGTCTGTCCATCTATCTATAGGCGGAGGGTCGGGTGACCAACGCACGGTCCCCATCCCCCAGTCATTTTCGGCTATTGCAGTCTTTCTTTAGGCTTTGCAACTGAAAAGACTGGCAACCGTTTTTCGGGTCAACAACGAATTCGGTAAGCCCCCAAGCAACATTATCCAATACAAGAAAGGAAATCGTAAAATATTTCGATGAGTGCGCATATGTTCGTACAATGATTATACATGGAGGATAGCAGACAAGCTAGGAGGAGGGAGCTAACTTTCGGTTTTGAAATATCTTTAGGAGATGCACGTCTTGAGTCTAGGGGTTCAAGTAGTTTTCACGTTGGCGGGTTTTAAATGAGCAAGGGAGGGTAATAGTGAGAAGTGCAAATCAGTCTTTAGCTAAATGTGAGTATACAGTGCATTTGATTAATGAAATGTCAAAAGTTACTTGTACTGTTCTTTTTAGTTCTTTAGTAAGCAACTTTCTCCATGTTTGAGTAAAATGGCATGATGAATGCAGCTACTCTTGTAGTTGAATAACATACTTTCAGTAAAGCATAATGGTGATCTCACCGTGGAACAAGTTATCAACATTGCACGACAGATGCGACCGCGTTCAATGGCAAAAAAATTAGAAGGCACTGTGAAAGAAATATTGGGTAAGTTTTCAAGTATGACGTAAAAAAGTGAAAGTTCTCGGAGAAAGTTTCAAAAAGAAAAGTTTCCAAAAGCAATGCTTATGTTTTTCAGTCACAATACATTGAAATTTTGACGTAAAATGGTCACCTTCTTTAAAATGTGATCCACTTTTTCATGGAGTTGGGTTTCTCATTCAATGTTTATAGGTACAGCCCAATCGGTTGGTTGCACAGTGAACGGGCAACATCCGCACGATATAGTTGATGCTATACGTAGTGGCGAGATCGTAATTCCAGAGGACTGAATGGCGGATGACTTTGTGTTTCATATTTTTCGTTGTCTTTTTCTTTTGTGTTGTTGGAAATTGAATTGAACTTCTCTGAATAAATGTTGCCAATTTTTGTAGATTTCTTGTAGCTGTGCATTTAAACCGCATGATTGGCTTGGCGATATGTTGTTTCGAAAAATGTAACTGCGGTTTTTTGAGGATTGGAAGTGATGGATAAGTTGACATGCGTAACATTCAATTGTTTTAGGGGTGCAAATTCAAATACACCGGAATGCCTACATTTTGTGTGGTTTTCTGTTTTGTTTCAAGGTTAGAATGTGTATTGAGGTCATATAATAGACATTCGTGGTTAATGGGAGCTGTTTTGTGTGGGTGGTTCCCGGACGAGATTTTCCGGCAAACAGTTTGGAGGCGATATTAAATGGAGTCGGGTGTTTTTCACCCTCCTATAGTCATAAATTTATGGGAGATATGTTAGGTATACTGGGTGGAATTTTTTTTTTTCGGGAATTTAAAAATGATGAAGAGATTTAATACCTGAGGAATGAAAGTGTTGGATGTGGTGGGAATATAGTGAAAATGATATTTTGTTCAATATCAGAATGGTGATCTATTTTTGATTATTAGAAATTTTTCCTTTAAATCATTTAGTATTAGCTATGCTTTTCAAAGAATTGAGCAAAAGCATCTGCAATTGAATGAACTATGAAATTGAAAGTGAAATACTGATTATGTAAATAGAAATGAGACAAAGTTTCACTATCAGTGATGTGCCTTACTCCTTTCATTTGTCATTATTTAATGTCAACTAAAAATTCTATCAGGTTTAATTGATTGATCGTCTTGTCATTGATAAGAATGATCACTTCGTCTTCCATTCGAAAATTTTCCAATCTTTTCGATATGCTTGTTTATTTTTGGAATGTAGAAAATTATTTCTAAAGCTTAAACATGTTTGCTATTAGCGTTTTAATAGTTACCAATTTATGTTAGTTAGTAAGTGACAAAAAAAGAAAGGAAAAAACCTGATCAAACATGGGGAGAACTATGAACTGCAAAATAATTCCCTTATAAGAAAATCTCGTTTCTTTTTCTCTTTTTAAAATTTGTTTTAGGTATATAAGAAGATAGCAATGACGAGTAATATCAGAAAGAAATAAATGAATAAGGGGAGGGAATGAAATAATGATAGGAAATAAAATAAGATAAAGGAAATTTTCAATTCGTAATGTAGTTTGTTTAATTAATTACTAATTTAGCTTGTCCAATTTAGCCATGAATTTACTAATATAATTGGAATAAAATGAAAATATACAAATAAGGATTCAAATTTTGAATTAGTAAAAATTATTCTAGGGATAAAAGGAAATATTGGGTAAATAATTTTCATTGAGAAAGTGGTATGGTTGGGGAATTTTTCAGAAAAGGAAAAAGAGGAAAGAAATTGAAAATAATGGTAAAGGAAATTGCATTTTAAGTTTTGCATTCATCTTATGGATATGATTGATCGAAATATCATTAATGTTAATTAAATGATATCATTGTTAATGTATTGCATTATTATTATGTACAAACTGAAATAACATATTATTATCTACAAGTTGAAATAACAAAAATGCTAAAACTTAGAAATAATCCATTGATCGATTTTGTTGCTAATTATAGTTAATTGAAATAAATTGAAATGATTGTCGATGAGAAGTAATGATTTTTAAAAGATACTAGAAAGTTGTCGTTTTTCTTTCTTTCACTAGTTTCAAATTATATTAACATTTAAAGAGCAAAAAAAAATTGATGCTAAGAATTGAGAGTGAAATGGAAGATAAAAAGGAAAAATAAAATTTGAGTGAATGGTTCAATATATATATGTATAATATATTATTTTCTCATTGATTTTTCTTCCTTACTTTTTGTTTTTTCTTTTTTCTTTTACTCTTTGATTTTTGCTCTTTTTATTAATTTAAAAAATCTTTTGGGGAATAAATTATTATTATTGTTATTACAGATTTGATTAAATTTACACATCAATCACGTCAACTTACTGAAAGTATTTCGAAATGAGCGGAAGAAATGACGAATATACTGTACATGAAAACAATGTTCCAGATACTTATAGGTATTCTAATGTATTTCTTTGGCTTGCTTTTACTTCATTTTTCTTTCCATCTAACTTTCGATTATAATAATTCATGTTTCTTCAAAAAAAAAAAAAAGTAAAGAGTATAGGAATGGTTTATTTTATACAAATAACCGTTGCCAGTGTTTGGAAAAAAAAGGCTACAATCGTTATCAAACATTAAATATTTGTAATTATTTATATCGATTTTCGATTTTTCGATCTATGTTATTCACTTGTATTAATGTTAATGTGGTTTTTTTTTTGATCTCTTCCATTTGTGTCATTTTTTAAGAATATATAAATAATCTGTTTGTATTAAAAATAAAAAATTGCTAATATATTTGTAATATCTTTATTATTATTATACTTATATAAAGGAAATGGATGAATTGCAGAGATCGGATATTAAAATGGAATGGATGGGGATATGTGGATTCATTTTTTCTAATTAGGAATCGTACTGATGCTGTTCTCACGGGTAATAGGTTAGATTTTATTTGTTATTGTTCTTTTTGTTGATGATAATTTGGTCATTATTTTTTTTGACATCTTTTGTAAATACTGTGATTGTAATTTATATGGATAATATTTAGCATAGCATGGGTTATAAAGCTATTGGTTCTTTCTTTTTCCTATATATATATTATTTACTTAGCTAAATTTAAACAAATACTTTATCTATCAATTGAAGCTATCGTTTGATATCCAAATATATTAAAGGATGAAAGAAAGATTTCATTTTTTCATACAGTAGTACATTGCTGGATGATATTAGTTTACTATTTAGTTCAGTTTTAGAAGAAGGTTGGATAAAAAGTTTGATCTTCATTGTCATAAATCTTATTATTATATTTCAGATATGATATGTCGAATCAGACATTGCCATACCTCGTAAAATATGTCGAAGAAAAATTTGGTGCTAGCGTTGATATACAAACTCAAAGTGTACGTTATGAAGACTTAATCATTCCAGTTCCATTTGATAATCAAGATTTTATCAATTTTTTGCTATCAAGTAGTATATCCTTCTCTAACAAATCTAATTATCGATTAGTTCGATCTCATGGACATACAGGTTCGATTTTTTGTTCATTTTAACTTCTTTGTCCTTGTTTTCATTTCTAATTCAATTATCGAACTGGTTTGAATGTTCCGACGAAATCATACAATGGTTGGTGATCATTGTTTGATACATTGTGCGGGGGTGATACAAGCAAACATATTTACGGTTTTTGCTTACTTTATATGCCTATTTTCGATGATTTTTATTTTTTCTCACTCATATCACCAATTATGATGTAAGTGTAATCCTTCATCTTCAGATTTTAAAAAGTATTAAAAGTAAAAATAATGCGAAATTCTTTCAGATTTTTATTTTTTTATTTTTTATTTTCTTTTTTGTAATTTATAGTGTTTTATATTTAGTGCATGATATCGCGAATTTGCGAAACGGTACTATTGGACGCATTCCTGATATCATCGTATGGCCTAAAAGTGAGGAAGAAGTTGTGACGGTAAGAGATCAGTAATGCAGAAAGTTATGATTTAGAAAAGCTTGGAATTTTAAAATATCTCTTCTTAGACAACACTATCAAGTTTTCTCGAAATGCTTATCATATAATTACCTGAAAATATCTGAAACATTACATTATTTATTTGTCAGATTATTGATGGTGCTAAGAAATTTAATGTTGTCATAATACCGATCGGTGGTGGAACTTCGGTAACAGGTGCATTGGAATGTCCAAATGAGGAAGCACGGAGTATTTGTTCCTTAGATATGGCACTAATGAATGCAATTATTTATATTGATGATAAAAATCTTCTTTGTCGAGCTCAAGTAATCTAATTATTTACTGCATTTGTTGATATTGCATGCAAGATATTCTGAGAAAGGGAGTTAATAAATTTGGAACATTTTGGTGTATGTTTAAATTACTTGTTTAAATTTCAAGTAAATCTGTATGTAAAGATTTGTAAAATATTCGAATTTTGACAATTTGCCAAAACAGGATCTTTTTTTTCCTTTATTTAACAAATAGATTTCTTTGCATCATTTCATGGTAATTTTTTTTTAGGCTGGCATAATTGGACAAGATTTGGAAAGGCAACTGAATGAAATGGGTTATACTTGTGGACATGAGCCAGATTCTGTGGAATTCAGTACACTTGGCGGATGGATTTCAACAAGAGCATCGGGTATTTAAAGAAGTTTTGCAATTTTCCCTTAATGTCAAGTTTGTCGTTCTCAACCTACATAATTAATAATTGAAAGGTATCATCATGCTATAGGATTAATGCTAATTACTTTATGGGAGAAAAACTGAAGAAGATGAAAACGATCACACGGTTGACTTTTCTCAGGATAGCCATTCGCATAGCTGTTTGATGTATTAGTGTTCTCTGTAATTTATTGATATACTTATTGATTGTGTGATTTACTCCTACACAATAAAACCAAGTTTTGGTGAAAAAGAAAGGAAGCTGCCACCAGACTAGGGAAAGTATCATTTTTCAGGAATGAAGAAAAATAAATATGGCAATATTGAAGACTTACTAGTTCACGTTTCACTTGTTACTCCGAAAGGAATCATCCGTAGGCAGTGTCAAGTTACCATTTATTACGTTATTCATTTTTTCCTAATTATACTGAAATTTGTTAAAAACAACGTTTGTATTACTGTTTCTCGTAAATTTTTCTCTTTGCATAGGTTCCTCGAATATCTGCTGGACCGGATTTGCAGCAAATAATTCTTGGTTCTGAAGGAATTCTCGGGGTGATAACAGAAGCAACAGTGAAAATTTTCCCGAAACCAGAAGTGAAAAAATATGGTTCATTCATTTTTCCAACATTTGAACATGGTGTAAATTTCTTTCGTGAAGTTGCAAAACAGGTTTGTTTAACTCTTTTAAAATCTTTAAACCAAATATCGGGAAATATATTCGACTTTTTTGCAGCAGAAAATTTCAATCAGCTAAAAAATGTTTCTTCTATGAAGTTGTACATCAGATTTCTTTCATTATTTCAGCGTTGTCAATGTGCGTCGTTACGATTGGTTGATAACGAGCAATTCTTAATGGGACAAGCATTAAAAACTCACAATGGCTCGTTATTGAAAGGTTTAAAACATATTTTGGGTACTTTATATGTTACAAGGTGGAAGAATTTCAAGGTTAAGATTTTATGATGCTGCAAAATCATTTATTTTCTCATTCTTATATCTAAAATAATATATTTAGACTTCATTCTAATTATCAAATTTAACAGAAAACTTTTGCAAATTAACCTTGTAATTGAATTTTGCAAAGAAACAGCGGAAAAATTTGTTTATAGTCAATCAAGAAAAGATTTTTTTTTTAATATTTCGAAATGTAAGAGCTTTTTTATCAACAGAAATATAATTATGGATTTAAGCATTGTTTTATAAGCATTTGAGGTAGTTGGAGAAAAACTACTTTTTTTTATAGAATAATGAAAAGGAAATCGAAAATTGTAGGCAGTTGTAGCAATTGAAGTTTTTCAAAAATCTGTTATCTTTCCAAACTGTCAATAACGGTCATTTACGCTATTTACTTTCTTATTTATTAAGTATCATCACGGATCTGCATTTTCATGTAGTTTAATATGTTATCATTCCACTTGTGTGGAAAGATGAAAAAACAAACTTCAAAAAAAAGCATTTAAAGAAATAAAAAATTAAGCTGGATGAAATTGTGGCAGCAACATGTGTTTATGAAGGAACCAAAGAGCAAGTTAGCAATGAAGAGCAAAAACTTACTAGTTTAGCAGGAAGTATGGATGGTATAAGTGGTGGTGCTGAAAATGGAGAATATGGTTATCGACTAACTTTTGCCATTGCATATCTTAGAGTAAGTTTTCATGATAATGTCTGGTCACAAAAGAGGATTGAATTAGCAAGTGTATTTTTCAAACGAAACAATTTTCTTCTATTTATTCTCATGTAACTTATGGCTCTTTTTTTAAATACTTCTTGACTTGTAACTTTGTTTTTATCATACTTAATGAAATGTTATGTCACTGTTAAGTTTTGTTCATTAGCTTCTTTTTATCTGTTCAGTATCTTTCATTCTTGTTAGGCTTAATCATTGTCTTATTTTTTTCTTTTCTTTATTGTCTGACTAGTTCAGATTTGTTAGATAATCGATAGCCTTGTTGTTATAGCTTCTTTTTAGACTTTAAATCTCTGGACTTTCCTATCTAGCATGAAAGAAAGTTTATGAAGCTTTTATTGGATGAGAAAAAGCAAAATTTTATCAAACTTTATGGAAACTTATTTCAGTAGTTATTCATTTGCTCTTTTCATTGATATTTCTTTCCTGTTTACTTTCGAGATTTGTATTTAAGAAACTTTCCATTCTAAGAGTATATTTTATAAAATTATTATAAGAATTTACTACAATATCAGTAATTTTAAATCGTTGATCAAGTTTTAAGCATAATATTTTAAAGGATTTTGGCATGCAGTTTTGGATAATGGGTGAATCATTTGAAACATCCGTTCCATGGGATAAAGTAATTTGTTTATGTCGAAATGTGAAAGAAGCAATTAGACGAGAAGGAAAGGCACGTGGTACGATCATACCGCCTCTTGCAACTTGTCGGTAATTATTTTATTAAATTTTCAATTACCAGTATTTTTAAAGTTGTTCACACTCAATTAAGTACTTGGTCGAAGCAATAAGATTTTGAAAGTGATTGTAAACGTTTGTTAGTAGAGCATTTACTGTTTTAGATCGCCAAAATTAGTTAAATTATGGAGTTAAGTAAAGTTATCTTTACTTTTTGACGACATAAAGTCGAGTCATTCAAAAATGCTACAAATAATATTTTAGTCAGCGTGACTGTATGACACAGTATTTTTCTGACATAGTTTTACTTGTCTAGCTTCGTCAAGTTTTACGAAATGTTAAATTCCATATATTACATGGCAGGATATGAAATTTGCTTTATATCTCATCATGTTACATTAAGTTTGCTTCAAATGTTACTGTACTTTTGATATTGTTACAACTATTGCGTTTAAAAATTACAATTAGAAGTTAGATTTCCCGAAAAAACTGCCAAAAAAACTTTTTCGAAAAAAAGTGAGCTAATTTAAACTACCCTAAAACTACCCTAGCGAATATTAAAAAGAAATGCTACTTCCGAATGAATAAAAAAATGTTTTGTTTTTTTTCCCAAAAGTATGAAACTAACTGCATAAATTATAATTTAAAAATAAAAAGTTTTTTTTCAGGGTAACTCAGGTATATGATTCGGGTGCATGCGTGTATTTTTATTATGCATTCAATTATAGTGGGATATATAATCCTATATTATTATGTGATCAAATTGAAGTATTAAACATTCTTTTTGACATTTCCTTTTTTTCTTTATTTTGTCTGATCTAAACGAAAAACCTTAATTTGAAATTTTTTTTTTTAAACGAATTTAGAAGTGATTGAAGCAAGATTTGTATGTTGCATTATTCATTGAAGCTTTTATCTTTAAAATGATTTCATAGTTCTTTTGAAAAGTTAAAAAAAACATTTAATAAAAAGATTGTGAACAATTCTTTATCCATCTAATTTTCTCGTTTTCCAGAAAGCAGCTCGTGATGAGATCATCGTTTGCGGTGGAAGTATATCGCATCATCATGGTATTGGCAAATTGCGAAAACATTGGTATCCTGCTAGTGTTAGCGATGCTGGATTATTAGCAATAAGAGCACTAAAAGAGAAACTTGATCCTAAGGTATGTTTCTGCAAGGAGTATATTAATTAGTGTTTGAGAGTTTTTAAAATTTTTTTCGGAAAAAAAAAGGAGAAAAAATTATTAAAACAAGTTACTTTAATAAAATTATTCAAATCTAAAGGGTTTCGAGAAAAAAAAAGTCAGGTGAAATTTTGATTTTTCTAGAATATGCAAATTTTAAAATTCCGTTAATTATAGAATATCTTTGGAAGTGGAAATATAATCGATGTTGAAAGAGAAAGAAGCAAATTGTGATGTTTATTTTGGCAGTTTAAAATGTATGCAATTTTTTGCTAAGTGCTGTCATCAACTTTATTACTTAACCATTTTGTTAGGGCTTTCTCGTTGCTTTTGTGAATGCTATTAACATTATTTTCTTTTGCATCTCCCGCTTTTTGAAATGAATACCGTGAATAATTTTGAAATTCTGATAGTTGCGAGAAAATCATTAATAGAAAAATAATCTGAATGGACAGAGAGGTGAGATATAATGAGATATCGCGAAAGAAAAAGTTTATGTTATTCTTATTATCCATTTTCAGGCATTATTTCAGGTGATATTGTTTTACTTACAGATAATAACATTTCTTTTGTTTTGTCATCTTCTTTTTTATTCTTTGATTTCCCAATTACTTTTCATAAAATTGTCGTATTTGACAATTAAAAATTATCGAATTTAAGGAAAAGAATTTTTTAACTCCATTTGGATTACTTTTATGTAATAAATTTGTCACTCTGATTATACCTTCATGTAATAGTATTTTAGTATCATTGTCATTGTGCTAAAAGCATATTTCCAATTGAATCATGCACTTTACTTTTTGCATAAATAAAATTAATTATTTGGAATTTTTAAATCACGAAATGTACTGACAGGTTGTAGACCGTTTAACTATGTTCATTCTTAATTATAGTGCAGATTTATAACTGTAAATTGTGTAGAGGAATTTTTTTTACTTTACTTTCTTCAATTAACAAAAAATAAAGATGATTGCAGGTGGTTAAATTAGTGAATTATTGGTTTGTAACATTGGTACTTAGTCATTATTGGTCATTAATACTGGTCATTAATCAAAACTAATGAATTCGGTAAAAATGAAATATAATATGAGAAATAGGAGAGATAGAGATAGAGGGAGAAAGAGAGGAAAGGAGTGCGAAAAAGAAGGGGTCAAAAAGTTCAAGTAATTTTATAGCTTAAAATAATAGATATCAATAATTGGATTAAGGAATTTCTTAAAATATTTTAAAGGTTTTTCAAGACATAGAGATAGTTTCAAAATATTTCTCAAAAAAAGAAAGAATTTTCTTTAGTCAAGAAAAGAATTATTTTTTATAAAAACCTGAAATTATATTGATTCGTTGAATATAAACGCATGAAAAGCGAAAAATATTGAATTTCTTACCAATAAAAATCAAATTTTGATATTTCATTTATTACTTTATTAGGTGTATGATTCATTCAAGGAAAAATTTCCAATTAAAAGGTTTGTTTTTTCAGGTTTGTTTTTTCTTCTGTACGTTGCAACATATACATAATGATATGGCTAATGGCAATTGTAATTTAATGGAAATTTCAAAGGACGAAGAACGAATCTAATCGATTATCATTCCTTGGAGTAAATACGTTAGCGATACAATTTTAGAGAGAGAAATTTGCATCAAAATTTTCAACATAAATGTCAATGCTACCATATCATGTTCCGAAAACATTGAAACATTTGAATGTCACTTGTAAGTTATTTTAAAATTTAATAATTTGAATCGAAAAAAATGATTTAAATGGAATTGGTTTGTTTTTAATTTTTATCAAATTTTAACACTCCTTAAAGTATATTTAAGATTCTATTCTTTTCGAACTTTTAATTTTGACAGATTTCAGTTTAATTTAATAATGTTACTCGTCGTTTATATCATCGACGCCTATAGTTACTTTTGATATCTGTAGATTTCAATATGTTTTATGAGATTATCTTAATGACTTAATTAAATTAGTAATTATTACAGTTAATGTTGTTGAATTACGAACATTATCACTATTGTATCGGCTAATAAGATTAGTAATTATTGCTGTATAATCACGAATAAGTGCTAACATTAGTGAATAAATCGTTAGATTATTATTAGATTAAAGTTAATATTTTACTCTAAGCTCCTATTTTTCTTCTAAAATTCTTCAAAATGACCTTTGTGATAGCTATTACACAATATTTATCTTACTGAAGTTTGTTTATCAAACGATTTTCCCAGTCATTTTAAATGGACTTTTTGTAATTGAATAAAGTTTGATAATGGTTTACCAAATTTTAGCAGCAATTTCTTCTCAATCCTTCATGATTTCTTTCTTTAATTGAAGTTTGAAATTTTAAGATATTAAATTTAATATTAAAGAAGTTCAAATTTTGAGGTTTATTCATATATGCAACAAAATTGCAACATTCGGTATCACATTTTCAAAAATTTTCATCCCAACGATTGCATACAAAGTATAAATGTTAGGGCCTTAAATTGTTTTCATTTTTTTTTCTTCTTAGTAACAAAATACTTTCCTTCATTTAAATTATTTTTCATGCTATAAATATTGAAAATTTGAAAGTATTATAACATTTTCCTGAGGAAATTGAAGGAAAATTTTGGGAAATCTTAGCGAAAAAAAATGTTTGAACGTAAAAATATAAAATGATTCCTGAATTTCTTTTTATTCCAGCAGCTTTAACATCCGTACAAGAACTTCTTCCACCGCTAAACGGTAACTTAAAGAAAGGTGAATGCGGACGTATTGGTGTTGTCGGTGGTTCATTAATTTATACCGGAGCACCATATTTTTCGGCTATTACTGCGCTAAAAGTGGTACCATATTATTTACATATCTTAATATATTTATTTACTCATTTAATAACTTATTTATTTTTACTGAAATCACTTGTATATCCATATTTGTTCAATTAATTAATTCTGTCGTAATTTTGTAAACTTTTATTTGCTTAATTAATTAACTCCATAAAATTCCTGTTCTTTTTCTTCAATCATGAACTGTAATACCTCATTTTTGATTTAATCTTAAGTTTTTTTTCTTCCCATCATTATAGATATTTTCATGCGTTGATTGAAAATAGCCTTGTTATCTTTTTGTTCTTGAACAGAATAGATCTAAATTTATTGAAAAAACTCAATTAGGACATAGAGAGGAGATATTTCAAAATCTTAATAACTGAAAGGACAACATCACGTTTTTCATAACTATTCTCAACTGTCCTTCTCTATCACATATGATTTATGGGATTCAAATATTTGAATTTTAGCACTTTTAGGATATGCATTCATTCCAGGTGTACTTGTTTCAAATTAAAAGTTTCAGTTTTTCTTTTCATCCTCTTCATACTTTTAATCTATACTTTATGCTGTTAAATTTCTTTATTCTGCTTAAAATAGTTGATTAAAGATAAAATTCTTGCAAAATTTTCAATTTTTTTTTCCAGGGATGTGATATGGTACATGTATTTTGTCCAGCTGAAGCAGCAAACGTAATCAAAGGATATAGTCCAGAATTAATGGTACATCCATCCTATGATAAAGATGCAATTGCAGAATCTTTACATCGTGTCGATGCTTTTATCTTAGGACCAGGTCTTGGAAGAGAAATAAAAACGTTATCGGTTGTGGAATGTGTAATTGAATCGGCTAGAAAAAAAAATATACCTGTGATTGTAGATGCGGTATGTTATTCCCCTCTTTTTTTTCATAGACCAATATTAATCTGTCGAGTTGATACTTATTCTAATTAAAGTTTAGCTCATAAAAGAAATATTGTTTTTAATTTTCGGACTAATATTAAGTTCTAACATGAAGCTTATTTATTCACATTATAGATTATCAATAATAAAGTGATTAAGGCAAAAATGGATGATGGAAAAAAATTTTGGCATTACAATATCTGTTGTACTTAGTGTTTTCTTAATATAAGTTAATATACAGGTTTTTTTTTTTTTTTAAGGGAATCCATTATCTCTTATTAGCAAACTATTTTTGCTTAGCTAACATGCACTTTTTTTGTTGGATTTTTGAACTAATAAAACACATCTAACAAATATCTTTAATGCCGCTTCCATTTGGTATCTATTAATTAGCTATATATTGGTCTTATTTTCCTTTTTTTTTTTTTTTTAAATATTATACATGAATGATACAATTATTCTTGTACTTTTATGTCGCTTATCCGTCTGATCAATTTTAAATTAATTGGTTAATTATTTGCATTTTATCGTTATCATCAAGTTAATATCACTAATTCTTCGCCATGTTTAGGATGGTCTGTTTTTGCTCGCAAAGAATTTAAATATTATCCAAGGTTACGAGCAAGTTATTTTGACTCCAAATCACTCGGAATTCAATCGTCTCTACCAGTCAGCTTTTAAAGTAGACAAAATTGACAAAGGAAAAATTGAATCTGGTGAAGCAGCATGGGAACTAGCTAATCATACTGGTTGTACAATACTTCAAAAAGGGCCTCATGATGTGATTACCAATGGAGAGGAACGTAAGTATAATTGATCTTATCCAGTTATTTCAATAGATTTTAAATTTCTTAATTTTGAAATTTAATTATTTATTAGAGGAGTTCGGGACAATCGCCTTTTGTCTTTAAATTGTGAATCTACCATGAAGTTAGAGTGAAACATCAACGTCAAAAAAAATTTCAGGTTGCTGATAATTGGAACAAACTAAAACTTGAACGTAGAACTTGAACGCCTTCAAAATTTTAATTCGTTGATCGCTGATAGTAGGAACAAACTAGATCTTGAATGGAGCTAATAAAACATCTGTCTGATTACATGTTGGATCAAGAATTAAATTTCCCTGCTATTGTGAGATGTGTTACAACTGAATAACTAAGACCGTCTGTAATAAAAATTACTCTTAAATAAGTTGAAGTTTTAAAAATCGCCTCCTATTTCAGTTTATCGAGAAGAATCAGTTGGTTCTCCGAGACGTTGTGGTGGACAAGGTGATCTGCTTAACGGTGCATTAGCTGTTTTCTCATATTGGGCTATCCGGTAATTGTTGTTTCATTACTTTATCACACGTTGTAATTCACTATTATGCTTAACTTGATTTGTTGGTTAAAAATTAGGTGCTATAGTTCTTTGATCTTTTTCTTCTCAATGTGGTTAAATGATAGTCTCCTTTGATAACAGCAAAAAAAACCACAAGAATATTAGGGATATCATGATAACTTTCTGATTATCAATAGATTTGAAAAGCTGTTGATTGTGTTATCATTTGCATTTGGAGAAGTAAAACTTACAACATTGTCAAGGATTTGATTTTTCTTCAGGAAAAATGATTCAAAACCAATGATTTCTGCTGGTATTGCTGCAAGTCAGCTTATTCGATGGGCTGCAAAAGTATCCTTTGAAAGGAATGGAAGATCATCTACAGCCAGCGATATGATTGCAGAAATACCAGGATTGATTAAACTTTGTGAGCCATAAATGTATATATGTCAAGATTGGAATTATCAAACTTTCCACTCTTGTACATTGATGAATTTGTGACTTAGAAGATCTTAGACATTATTTTGCTTGCAGGATTCCAGAAATTGTCATCATATGGATCTTTGTGAATTTTGTTGCTTCATGAAATTACATTAATTCTTAATTTTCTTCAGGACACTCTTTATAGAAAATCCTGCCAGATTTCTTCTCATGCAAATAAAATATATAATTTAAACATCAAATTATGTAGTCTAAGGAATGTTTTGTATATTTTGGGGTTTCGAATTAAACTCAAATTTCTTATAGATTTCGCAAGCATTGTGTGCATAGATATTATTTTTAATTTTCTTAATAAACCATTTCAAGTTTTTGCCCATAAATTTTAATTTTCTGATAAATCATTTTAATTTTAAGTATGTACTGATTAAGCAAAGTGAAAATAAAAGAATATTTTTCAACATTTATCCCTTCCCAACTATTTATTATTATATGTATTACATATTAGGTACTGTATGAAAATATAAAAATTTCATCTTTATAATTTATCTTCATAATACTTATACATACTTTTTTAAAAACAAAATTTTAAATATTTATTATTTATCCATTGATTAATAATCATTCATTCTATTGATTTTATATCGATACATTGTACGCTTTTTTTCATGATATTCATGAAGAATTGACCAAAATTCCATAATATCTTTCTAGAAATTATTCCAAAAAAAAAAAAAATTTGTCAATTTTTATTTTAAATAATTGATTAATTGGTATTAGAAAAAAAGAAAAATTTCATCTCGTCATATTATTAAATTATATTTATTAGTATACAAAAGAAAACTTTCGTTTTTTTTAATTTTCATAAATTAGTTTAATTTATTTAATTCTGTTAATTTACTTAATTCATATAAAGTCATACCAAATGAATCGTTTTAATTTTTGGTAATTGATTGAGTAAAACAATAGTACGACGTGCTTGTCCATCAAATTCTTCAACAGCTTGCTCGTAAAGTATAGCATATTTTTCAATTTTTTCCGTTGTATTTGCTTCTTTTACCTCTTGTTTCATAAGATCCATATCAGTACGTGCCCTGAAAACAAAAAATGATCATGTAATTTTTTCATCATATACTTATACGGCTAGTACTAACACGTACTATCAATTTTATCACTATCACTTCGTACTATCCACGTACCATCAATTATATCACTTGCACTATCATGTGTTATCAATTGTATCATCCTACAATCACGTACTATCAATTGTATCACTATCAGATACCATCAATTATATCACTATCACTCGTACTATCACGTACTATCAGTTCTATCACCATCCACGTACCATCAAATATATCACTTGTACTATCATGTACTTGTCGCGAATTTCGAATATCGCGAAGCTCCAAATAAAATGGTTAAATAAACTAATGTACAAATCAATCACACAAATTGTAACAATGTCATGAATTATTCAACCAATTTTACATTCCTCAGATTCATTGTCTCATGCGTTTTTCTTTGTTATCTTTGTCTAAGTTCACATCTTTTGCTTCTTTATGGCTACGAGGCACATTCATAAGCTAAATTTCTTTGTCTAAGAACCGATCTTAATTGCAATATGCTTAATGTTGCAAACAGAGCCTTTTGTTGTAGTCGGATTTTAACAGTTTTTCTTTATCCAACAAAAAATCTAATGTAATGTTTGTTATAAACCACACCACCAAATATGCTCATTGCGTTAATTAAAACTGTATATTTACTCAAGACTATAACTGGATGGGATCATTCATTTTCCTTTTCAAACATTCACCGTACATTGTATCCTCTACTCTCTTCGATAAATATTTTACTACTATCCTCTGCGTTATTACAATCTACTATCTTCTGCGAATAAATAACTTCCTCCTGAACCGAACGAAGTATACCTTCTCAGAATACTTGTCTGTGCCTATGAACAAACCCTTCCAAATCAAATCCGACAAATCAAACTTTTTTATTTTCAATTTTTCCTACACAGTACTATCCATTATATCACTCGTACTATTACATACTATCAGTTGTATCACTATCACTTGTACTATCACGTACTATCAATTGTATTACTCGTACAATTGGTCCATATAATCATAAAATATAATCGATCTTTTCTAAACAAAATGATTATAATTGTTTAAACTATTTGTTGAAAAATTTGACACACAATTTCATCATCAATATAACTTAACATATAATATCCGTATGGCCGATCAATATAATAATTTGAAATTTAAAATTTTAAAAATATTTCTTTAATATGATAACGACGAAAATAGAACTTATATGAAAAAAAAAGATCCTATTAATATGAAAAAAAAGTCCTATTTATCGTCAAAATATAATCAAATACCATTTGTAAATATACTCTTTCTTTCTCTCTTCCTCAAAAATGCTTTTTTTTTTCGGATGATTAAATTGATAAATTGATTTAATTACTTACTTTTCCAATTTTGTCCGTTCATCCATTAGTTCCTTATATTCCACTGTGAAAAATCGTCGTAAATGTCGAATTGCTTTACGTCCAATTAGCTAAAAATGTAGTAAATAACATATGTGAAAATTTTCAAATTATTAAAAAGTCCCTTTTTTTTTCTCTTTAAGAGTCTAAAGAAAGGAATTATTTTGAACTGGCAATATTCCTTTGAAATTTATTAAAATTTTCGAAAAATTTCTTCAAATTTATCAAATTCTCGAAAATTTTTTTCAAATTTATTAAAATTTCTGAAAAGTTTTACAAAAATTATTCGAATTTTCAAAAAAATGCTTTTCAAAATTTTGTTGAATTTGTTGAAAAATTCAGCAATTTTTCAACAGGAAAGAAAAAAAGACATTAATATAACAAAAAAAAAAGTTGAAATGAGGAAAATAATAATGTGATATGTTTAGTCAAAATTATGATTTAAAATCGTATGAAAATAGATTTCATTTTTTTATCAAACATTTCTTTAATGGAAGATTTAAATGAAATCTTTCCTTCAGTAGTAAATTTAAATTAAATTTTTCCTTCGGAATCATTCAAATTATCAAAATCAATATAAATTGATCACAATTATGTGTAATAATAATCCGAACAATTCAAAAGAATGATGATTATATAGTTTAAAATTTTTAATACAAAAGTAGAAAAAGATTCATTCAAATTTGGAAGGAATATTTGTTTAAAGTTAAAAAAAAGAAAAAAGAATTATTCTATGGAATAAATGATATTCGTTGAAGTGAAAGATTATTGAATGAAATGAATATGAATTAAAGTTAAATAATTTATTCGATATTATTCATGAAACTGAACAAATTCTTGGCATAATATTTGTTACGATTAAAATTTTTTCATTTCATTTTTTCTTTTTGTTTTTCCTTCTTTTGGTAATGTCAACGAAAGTATTCCAGAATTCATTTAGGATAATATTTTTTAAGAATCATAAAAAAAAAAAGGAAACGAAAGATGAAAAAGTAATTGACCTGATTTTCACGCTGTACTTTGGCTAAATTTTCTGTAACAGATACCAATGATTGAATTGTTGAAACTTTATCAGGTGGTAAACAGCTGTATAATAAAAAGAATGCATTTGAAAGTTTTTCATATGGATTCTCATTAGGATTATCAACAATCTGTAATGATACATTTATTGAATTCAATTGATAAATAAACAAGAATAACTTATTTGCTTATCAACAAATGATTTTTCTTTTAATTAACTTAATTATATCAGTTTTGAAAAGTTGATAAATTGTTTCATTATTCTTTAATTGATAAGAACTTGTTTAATTAATGAGAATTTATATTAATAAATAAGGGAAAATAGTTTATTTACTTATCAACAAATTTTTTGAATTAACTTAACTATATTAGCTTTGAAAGCAAGTTAATAAATTATTTCATTATTTCAAAATTAATTCATAATGGATAAAAGTATGTTGTATCAGTTTAATTTTAAAACTTTACAAATCTGTTATACCTGTTTTTTTTTCTTTTTTTTGTTTCTTTAATCTTTAGGAACCAAAAAAAAAAATTGAAGGATGAAAGGTTAAAGGAAAAAAACAACTTGCTTTCCCATTAGCAATAATATTCTTGTTTTGTTGAATACATGCTTCCAATTTTTCAACAAGTACATCATTACTTTCTTTATAGGTATCATAATTTTTAGTGAGTTCATTAAATTCTGGACTCATTTGGGTTTTTTCAATGTTACTTGAACGTTCACCAAATTTCGACCAAAATCGTCGGATACCACCAGTTTCGTAAAATATTGAATTTATTATTAATCATTCCAAAAATATTTGATGACAAATTTTCTTTATAAATTATTTTAGCTAATTTTTCTTTCTCCTCCTTTTATTCTTTTTCCCTTATTATAATGCTATTTTTGAAAGCTTTTCCATAAAATTTATTCGTTTTTCTCATGCTAATTTTAATTGAAACTTTCCACTTATTGCTATTGATTTCCAAGTTTAATTATTATAAAAAGTTTTTTTTCAGTTCTTATTTCAAATGAACCTTTTTTCGGTGTAATATTTATTGGTCTATTTTATAAAATGTTAGCAAATAATTTGATGCGATGCAATTAATATAAATGAAAAATTAAAAAATTTTTTAACACTCGAAAACAAATTTAAATTCATCACAAAAGCAATTACAAATTCCAAACTTATCTAATTTACTAATAAATTAATAAATGGTTAAGAAAAATTACAAGACAAACGGAACGAAAGGAAAAAAAATTTATAAAATTTAAGTTTGAAAATTAATCAAATACATTTTTTGCAAACAATTTATCACCGTTATCATTAATGATCAATGTAAATTATTACTGGGGGAATTGTAAAATTATCAAATAACATAAATCACTCCTATTTTCATCCATTTCTTAGTATCGCTTAAAAAAATGTTACATAAGTACTGCTAACTCTGTCACTCAAAAAAAAAAAAGATGTCATATAAGTACCACTAACTTTGCTCGCCCATATTTATAAAAATTATCACGAAGAAATAGCAATATCGTTACTTAAATTGCTATAACAATAATTTCTTTATCAAATTATTAATTTCTTTATACTGAATAATTTATACATAAAATTAAAATAAATATATGCAAAAACACACAAATTAAAAAAAGTGTAAATATATGAATTTGCAAATTTTTCTAGAAAATTTTGAACAAAAAGACAATCCAATTTCACAATTCGCATTACTATTTTATCATTGATTAATTTTATCACTAATCAACACTTTTAGCAAGATGTGTTATTACTATTGGTATTATCATCACTTATTTATTACTATTACTAACAGTTTCATCTTTATCACTATCGCTACTTATTTTAACACTGTTACTATTATTAATATTATTATTGTTATTACCATTATTATTATTATTATCATCATTATTATTATTATTATTATTATTATTATTATTATTATTATTATTATTATTATTATTATTATTATTATTATTATTATTATTATTATTATTATTATTATTATTATTATTATTATTATTATTATTATTATTATTATTATTATTATTATTATTATTATTATTATTATTATTATTATTATTATTATTATTATTATTATTATTATTATTATTATTATTATTATTATTATTATTATTATTATTATTATTATTATTATTATTATTATTATTATTATTATTATTATTATTA